GAATTTAGGAGTGGGGGAAAGAATTCAACCCATGACTACGTTTTTATGCCAACTCCGTTGTGTCACTAGTTGAGGGTTGTTCTAAGTCTGGGGGAGTGCGCTGTTTCCCTGGCACTTTCATCCTGCCGAACAAAGGAGCTCTGAGGCAAAGAGATGCTAGTTAGTGGAATTTGGGCCTGAACACTCAGAAATGGTAAGTGACAAGGGATATGAGTGGGGCACCGGCAGTGTCCGATGCTTTGGAGGTGCAAATAACTACAGTTGACCCTTGAAGAACATGAATTGCAACTGTGTGGGCCCACTTATATGCAGATTTTCTTCTGTCTCTGCCACCACTGAGACAGCAAGACCAATCCCTCCTCTTCCTCTTCCTCCTCAGCCTACTCAACGTGAAGATGACGATGATGAAGACCTTTATGATGATCCTCTTCCACTTAATGACTAGTAAATGTATTTTCTCTTATGATTTTCTTTCCTCTAGCTTTATTATAAGAATACAGTATTTAATACATATATTAATAACATACAAAATATGTGTTCATGGACTGTTTGTTATTGGCAAGGCTTCTGGTCTAGGCTATTAAGTTTTGGGGGAGTCAAAAGTTACATATGAATTTTCAAGTGCATGGGGTCAGCACCCCTAACTCCTGCATTGCTCAATGGTCAACAGTATTTATATGACTCATTTAGCTTTTTTTTTTAATAAGGAAGATGATGAGAAATAATAGAAAAAAGGCAAGTTTTATATGCTCTTCTGCCTATGGAAGCAAAAGTCTGTTAATGAAAAAGACCCCATCATGGAAGAGTTGTTAAGAAAAATGTAGGCTGGATGTCTTTGGTACTTATTTGCCCTGTGAGCTAACTGTCTAAGGAAACTGAAATAATTTAGAAGTAACACGATTCCTTCAAAATTTTACAAAATGTATTTAGTAATCAAGAATGATGAAATAACGCCTCATATAGAGTGATGTACAGAAATTATCTGTAGAATGAATGAATGACTTCTCGGAAATCACCTGTAAGAGGTTTCACCAATGGGAAATTGCCACCAGATGGCACCAGAGACTAGGGAATAGAATTTTTCTTTTTTCGTTTTTGTTTTTTTGAGATGGAGTCTTGCTCTGTCACCCAGACTAGAGTGCCGTGCATCAGTCTGGCTCACAGCAACCTCAAACTCCTGGGCTCACCACTCCCGGCTAATTTTTTCTATTTTTAGTAGAGATGGAGTCTCGCACTTGCTCAGGGCTCAGGCTGGTCTCAAACTCTGAGCTCAAGAGAGCCTCCTGCCTTGGCCTCCCAGAGTGCTAGGATTACAGGCGTGAGCCACCACACCCTGGTCCCTGTTATGTCCTTTAATTTGCCAAATTCTCTTAACCAGTACAATCACTTTATATACAAAAAGGTACTGATTATTCCCAATTTAACACAAAAGGATGATGCTGTTGGCTTGAATTACTTTATCCGCTTTGTTTTTGATTCTAAACTTTCCTGAGATGCTACTTCACCTCAAGGAACTGGTTTACCTTTTCAAGCTACTGCCCCAAGCAAGTTGGGTTTAGCAGCAGGAACTAAGATTGCTTATCAGCCATATTTCTGGCTGGGACATGAAATCTTTGATTGCATATGTTCAGGGACTTTTCTGAATCCCTATATTCCCTTCTCCCCTTTAAAAGTTGTTGCTGTGGCAATAGAGACTTCAAGTTTATAGCCTTTATTT